TCCGTTTTCCACTTTAAACATGGCCGTCTGGCTAAAAACCGAGGTAAATGAAGCCCTTGGATACTCGTTTGATGAGTCAAATGCAGCTTGCAGCAACTCTACCTATTCATGACCAGTTACGGATTCATTTGGTGGTACGCAGTGTGATGTTTGCTCCCACTGGTATCACGAAAGTTGTACCGGCCTCCGAGCGGACCAGTACCAAATGCTATCATCCAGTGAAAACTTTCTTTTTAGAGTTGCTGAATGTTGCGCTCAAAAAGCGAAGCGCCCGGCTTGCGTCTGTGCTGAATTGAAATCAATGGCACCCAGTTTCGCAGATGTTGAGGAGTTGGCCGAGCTTGTCTCTCTTGCCTCGCTCAACATTAAAGTGGATTTGATTATTAAATTCCTGAATACTGCGAACGAGGACGATGCAGCGGAATGTTCCCATGCTGAGAGTCCGTCCGTTGATGAGGCGTTCATTCTACCGGACGCTCTCGTTCACATGGAGCTAACTGACTCAGATGCCTCTGACGGCATTGTTGACCCTCCCCAAATGGAAGGCTTGTCACCGGTCCCTGGGCCAGAAAAGAATAAACGTTAGAGGGTAAGGAAAGCACGCAAACCCACCACCCTCAAACCGGGAGTTGAGAACAAGCTCAACGTGCGAGAGCTTGAGCCGGAAACACCACCTGATACGGAAATTTCCTTAATTACACATGCGGTATCCTCGCCTTCGCTTACACCGGTTTCTGCCAAACAACCATGTGGCGTGGATGGTAGAGCTTGTGGGGTAAATAAACCTCGTTGTGGTGATTCCTACACAGATAGCAGTGTCATTCCAGAAACGTCACTGAATCCACCGCCACTCTTCCCACGGAGCGCATGCATGGTGATCTTGGTTGGTTTAAAGTTTGCGTGTACAGGCTTTTGAAACCAGGTTTCCTTTGCGTTACTGTCAGGAAACTCATCAGGTTGCGAAACGTTCCGGTTGATCAAACAAATCTTCGACCCCGTCTGCTTATGGTGGTTCTACCCACCCCAGAAGAGCGCAGGGCATTACTGCGATTTGCCTTCAAGCTCAAAGGCACCAACGTTAGTGTGCAATCAGACCTTTGGTTAGCGCAGAGGTTAAAGTTAAAGGAAGACAGCAAAGACCTAAAAGCCCGGTGTGTAGCTGGCGAGCATGGTCTCCGATTGTTGGGTTTACAGATGATCAGCCGGCGGTACTTTTTCGCCCAGTCAGAACCTATTCTACTTGCGCACGACCCAGGGTTGGTAGTGCCGAAGCCCTCCAAGTAGTACTTAGCAAAGTACTTAGCCTGTGGAACAAGATGTGCGTGGTGGGTCTGCTAGCAGATATGCTTGCTTTTACTGAAACGTGGCTGTCGGAGTATATCACAGACCGCGAAGTATATCTGCCTTGCTACGCACTGTTTCGCACTGCCCGCTCCTTTGGCCGTCAAGGGGTTGGTGTAACTCCTTACGTGAGTTATCACATAGACATATTAATGACCGGCGATGTTCAGTTTCCCGACAAATCTCTTGTGGCTCTCACAGCCTTGATTTGCGCTTCCTCATTTCAGATTACGGTAGTATTAGTGTATATGAGCCCTATGAACACCTCCAAGGGAAGTATTGTGTTTATACGCACTCACTCTGCGAACAAATGTCTGATGCTGGGTGATTCAACCTCCCATAGATTTGTTGGGGAGATCTGTCGTGTAATTCGGCGCTGGGATCGTTCGGTGCAGAACTGCTGGACTTGACGCTGCAATTAGCACTACACCAGCTCGTGGACCTCCCACTAGGTACATGAGCAATCAACAGCCGTCCATATTATGTTTTGTTTTTACTGTCACTTGACTTTGTAAATGATATTACGTACGACTCTCCTCTTGACACCGGTGATTACGTTTGCTTGTGTCTTCAGCGTACCATTAACAGGCCTTGCCAAGCTACTAGTATTTGGTATCCAAACATTTGGTCCGCGAAATTCCAAGCGATGCGCGGTAAAGCTATACCATCTCCTTGTGTGATCTCTGAGACCGCCACTGTTCATGTAGCCTGGGAAAAAGATAAGACTCACAATCCTACACTTCACATCCCACTGAGGAAAAGAAAAGAATCGAGCACGCAGCCTCCGTGGATAGGTTCTGCGGGGAAGGACATGCTAAAGAAGCAGTCTAGATGCAGGCGCATGTATCAAACAGCTCCGTCGACCAACACGTTTGACAGGTATCGGTTGGTTCGAATTCAATGCAAGCTACATTTTAGATAGGCCCGGATTCAATATGAAAAGGGCTTAGCTGATACTGCCTCGACGAATCCCAAGAAGATTTTCGCCTACGTTAGACGACTGATGTGCAACCTTGACCATTAAAGCGTTGCTTCCAGAGGATGGGACCGATGCTTATAGCAACTATGACAAGGCATGCGTGCTGGGTGAGCAATACGAAAGCGTCTTTGTGCGCAAACAAATACGCCATACAGAGAAATAGCTTCAAGAGTATCTGAGGCCTCTAGTCTAGATGAACTTACTGTAACCGAGTATCTAGTTCTCCGGTTGCTGAGGGTGGTGAACCCAACTAATGCTTTCGGACCAGATTATGCTCATCCAAAATTGCTGCACGAATTGGCAGCGGAACTCAGTCGACCTCTGACTAGTGTATTTCAAAATCACACAACAGCTATGTTTTACCTACCGAATGGAAGGAGACTGTTGTCTGCCCGATTTGCAAGTGCGGTGACAAAGACCTAGCGGCTAAGTACTGCCTGTCAGTTTGACTAGCGCGGTCGTTAAATTACTTGAAAAATTAGTAAGAGATACCTTGGAGAACCATTTGGATAAATTTAACATAGGGTCGCGCAACATGGTTTTCGCAAAGGATTTTCGTATCAAACGAACTCGCTGGTAGCTCGTGAGAGCTAGGTTGAAGCCGTAGACACTGGACATGTGGTGGATGTGGTGTTCATTGACTTCACCAAGGCCATTGACAAGGTCCCCATTCACGACTCTCACTGAGGTTGAGGTCGTATGGAATATCTGATCGCGCTGTCCAGTGAGTGTCAGCTTTTATGCATGGACGGAAACAGGGTATTCGTGTGGGAAGCAGTCTTTCGTTTCGACAAGCTGTACTTAGCGGCGTTCCATAAGGCTCTATCCTAGGTCCGCTGCTGTTCTCAGTCTACGTGAATGACTTGCCGGGGGAACTTGAGGTACAATCGCTCTTATTTACTGATGTTCTAAAGCTCTGGTATATCGTCGTTATCCCTGGTGATCCTGCGGCTCTTCAATGCGCTCTGGATAGACTTTGGAATTGGTCAGTCTTGTGGTTACTGCCTATAAACCGGGCAAAGTGTTCAGTGCTGCATGTGAGAGGGCCTGATTTCTTCGCAAGTTATGTGATCGACGAGAGTGAACTTCCTCACGCGATTCATAGACTCACCTTGGTGTCGTCCACTGTTTCACACTACCCTCCGGAGAAAACTGAAAGGAGGCAGCTAGTAAAGGGTTCCGGATGTTGTGGTTTATCCGTCGTTCTTCGGGACCCTAAAAGCTGTTTTTGAAGCTCTTCTCCGCGTTCGTGCGATCCTACTTAGAATATTCCGTCCAGGAGAGTCCACCATGTCTTCTGCGACACAAAATAGCACTAGAGAGGGTGTTGAGTGTCGGTACTAGGTTGGTCAAGGGATTACGAGGACAAACGTACACCGAGCGCCCACTTAGTTTGGGGATGCATTCAATGTACTATCAAAGGATTGGAGAGGACCTAACCCCAACCTACCGTATTCTGGACTGGGAAGGTTGGCCTTGAGTTGGCCTGGGTATTTAGTCCTGCTAGATTCTCCGGTCTCTATGGGTATTGTATGAAGCTGCACAAAACGCGGTCCGATTGAATTAGAGCGGAGACACGGTTATCGTGTCAAGCCATCGAGCGCTGGAACTCGCTTCCAGAAAATGTTGTGAAGAAGGATAGGGTTAAGCGATTTAAGCCTCAATTAGATGCACTTGAGTGGTAACACGAAACCTTTCCATTTTCCTGACTAACTTCCATTTTCATACTAGTTTCTGTACTTTCCCACACCATTGGTATTATCTTTTTCTTTCAAATAATGCCTTCGCTTTTTACCTTTGATTTATCTTCCTCTCTTACTTACTTCAAATCACTAGCCTAGCAGGGACTGCTAATGCAAGGAACGTATGCATTAAATTGGTGGACCAGGGTGTGTTTCGGCTGTCGGAGCACCCGTATCAGCTCTTAGCTCAGCAACGCGCTCAAGAAGGAACAATTACGGGAATCCTACTATCGTTCCAGTCTCATTTGAACTTGAACTTAAAGTTGAACTTATAAGTGGCTACTATGGAAACTGAAACTGCTGCGTTTGACAGAGCGTTCCACCGGTAGCCGACCAGGAGCTAAAAGAATTGCCGTCAACACTATAAGGTGCTTTGACTCAAATTTGGATTTGGAGAACAAGCTGTGATTGGACTGCGTCACGTAACCACTTTTGAGAGCTCGGTTCAATTTGAGGTAGACCTCGGTCATTCCGATCGCAAGGACCGTATCCGAAATACTTTCAATTTGGCGATGCTGCTGTGTCGAGCAAAAGCTAAAACTGTCAGTAGTTGTAAGGAAACCAAAAGGTGAGAAACACAAATGAATACTTGCCCTCATGGCTGCATTGAAACAGCCGATGTAGCTGTCTGGTATAACCTCTAGTTAGTTCGTCTGCGCATGCAAGTTTTACCTCTGGGCAACACAATTGTGGCTTGAACTGACCCATATCTACTCCCTACATAAATAGAGCTCAATTACCTGCAAGCTACGGGACGTGTTGTTACGCTACTGACAAGCATTTGACATGAACTTCTGTCAGAAAACGCACATACACGATTTCATCAGGTTTAAGGGTGAACACGCTCTACTAACCAATGGGAATTGACCTTCCTTGTGGCCTCCACTTAGTCCAGTGTGCGTAAGTTGTTAACATCGAGACTAACGCATGATTGTTTGTTGACATTGTATACGCTGCTTGGAACGGCGCAGTTGTGTCCTATTTGCTCAGTACGGTGAGCGGCTTGTGCGTCGAATTAAGAGACCGACCAGAAAGCGTGTCGTAAGACACACGCACCAAGGCACACACTCGCAAGTGCGTGCGTAGACAATTGCTTGGTTCCATCGATCGGATGACTCAATTTAATTCCTTCGCACTTAGACACGCGTGATTGTTGGCAGCAAGACAAACGTGTGCAAGCTTCACAACTAAATCGAACAAAGGAATCTAAGTGGGCCATGGCAGATGGCAGGAATGACCGGTCGAGGAAATTTCAACCGGCAAACAACCGATTCCAGCCAAAAGGACGCCAAAATCTCCATCACCGTAGCTTGATGAATTTGACGGCGTCAGTGGTCAACGAGACGACATCGAATGTCAGCTGCGCTCGAATAGAAAAAACCGAAAATAAGGAGGCAGGATTTGTGCGTAAGATACCAAAGTTCTTCCGGTGGGGAGTTGGAAAGAAAATTCTCCCATTGGAACCAATACCAAAAGTGGTGTCGGATCCAACAGAGAATACACCGAAATCAAGCGTGCCGGCTGAAAGGGGATTTGTGGGAAATCTTGGCATTGGCCACTACATCACGTCTGACGAGAGTGCATTTTTGAACTACGACATTCCTGATGAAAACACAGCCCCGGTGAATCATAAGGGATTTTCCAAGTCCATGGTGGACTTATCGTCCATCACACCTTGGTCTTGTACCCCTACCGAGCCCACACTTTTGCGTTCATCTCATAATCATTCAATGACTGAGAGTGAGGCGGAGAGTATGTCCACTTCTTCACACAGCGACTTCCCTGGAGTGCTTAATACCTTACTTAAATCCCACGAACTTCGTGCGCCTCACACTGAATGTAATCAGTCGGTTCCGGATTTGATTAAAGTGCTCTTTTTCACTAATTTACCGTGTGACACTAGCTGCATCGGCAAGGACACATTGACCAGCAGCCGAGACTCTGGCACGGAACAGCGGAATATGGTGGAGAATGAAAGCATTTCTGAGAATCTACCTGCTTGGTTAATAACGGAGAATGACTTAACGGCCAATGTCCCTTATACTGTAAGTTTTGTAAAACCATCTATTTTGCTAATTAGTTGGTACAAGCAAGTGATCAGTACAACATACTCACAACATGAGGCTACAAGTATTACATAGTATGTGCATAACAATGCAAAGACCTCAGTACCTTACATAATTATGTAACGTTTAGGGCTAATGCTGTTTACGTCAAGTCAAGTCAGGAGCCCATTTGTCCTATTGCTCGTCACCCGTCCAAATTGAGTTAAAAAATTAAAGCTACTGAGGCATAATCCATTGGGTATAAAAGGCATTATTTTGATTAGTCCCGTGTGTGATCTGCCAGAAAGTGGCGTGTAAGAGACAATTATTCATATGCTGTATACAAGGAGCAAGTGTTGACCTGGCGCTTACTGTTTATTCTAACTCTTAAATTTTCATTACCTTAATGAATAAGTTCAAGTTTACATTACGCTTAATGAAAACACGATAATTACGTTAGCTTGTCTGTCATTGACACAGATCTCGAGTTATCATTGCCGCTTATCAGTGCTATTTGGTGCGTTACAGGCGTAATTCATTTATTCAGTAGCCTGCGTCCAGCAGAAAAAGTGCACGCCTCCTATCGCACACTGTGCCACAGTTATCTGCTTGTTGAGACAGCCAATTTACGAAGACAAGTAATCATGTGTAGCAAAAACCACACAAGTCTGGACCTCACTGACACCGAAATGCTGTTTAGTGGATGTTGCATTATCAGCACGGAATCTGACTACGAAGGCCTCTTTGACACAAGGCAGTCTGCTGCATGAAATGAAAGGGAAATCAGTATTCTTTTTGAGATCCGTGATGTTATACAACTGTCGGTTATCCAGATGGTTGGCGGATTGCCGCGAGCAATTTTCCATTGCCCAATTCCATCCAAAAAGTTGGCATGCTAGTTGCTTTGTGTGTCCGGCGGTTAGGCATCCTGTTATAACCTGCAATTGTATAAAGTATCAACAATCCAAACGACAAATTGCGATTCAACTTATTTTGGCTAGTTTACGCTGTTCACACCGCGATGATTCTGGAAGCGAACAAGAAATGTGCAATTATACGTTTATTATGATTGTAATACATATCCCTGCCTGTACTAGAAAAGTAGACTTTGCTGGAGAGCAGCCGGTCAGTTTTCTTGGGCTCATTCTCCTTCATCTTGTCAGTCATGTGCGGTTTTACATTGCACACTCTATGTCCGGTCGCTAGTACTTAAAACTTTGTTTTCCGTCCTGTTATTTATGTACACCAAGCCTAAGGGGAAAAATTAAATGCGCAAGCTCGCTATCAAATCCATTATGCTCCAGTATACAGAAACTCTAGTAAAATTCACAAGCCATCCAGAAATTTAACCGAGTGATCTAACTGAACTTACTTTTGTAAGTTGTGCGATGCAAGACAAACACGATAGAAAGTGAAACTCTTATGTATCGCAGAAAAATGTTTGTTCTGTTTTGAGCAAATTGCCAAGTTGTACAGGGGTGCCAATTAATCCGAACTCATTAGCTAAAAGCTCAATGCATATCCCAGCTACCTGATCAAACATTAACTTTCTAGTTCCTAGCGAACATCCAGGATCTACCGCAGGGAAGAGTATGATTTCGATCTAATTACAAAAGTACGGTTATGACACTAAATATCCTGCTTAGTATATAAGTGAGATTGACTGCTCAAGTGCTCTAAGTGTCATTCGAAAGGGTTTTAAATGTCTTCAAATAAATAAACGATGAATTCCTTCCACACACGTACTTGTACAAGCTTAATGCTTGTCTGTGTATACATGATATGTCTCCTAATATCACGCAAGAAGTAGGAACAGCAAAGGTGGACGTGGGGTGTTCAACACGAAACCAAACTTTTGCTATAACATTTCCTTGGTCATTGCGCAACAGTTATAAGCACTTCCCCCTCAAATTAGTCCCCCTTACTGGCAATACACCGTTCCCAACAGTGCTTCCATTGTTGGATAATCTATGTCCGGAGAATACAGTGGATGCGGCACAACGGGAGTGTGATATTTTGCTAGGTGCATGTGGACAAGGAGCGATATGTGAACCGGCGCATTGTCATGATGCAACATCCAAGGCTGGTTTTCCCAGACTTCAGACGTCTTGTTGCCCACGGCAAACCTTACAAGCACTAGAATTTGTAGGCATGATCCAACGCTGATACTCATTTCGTTAAGAACTGCTCAAACAGTTAAACGGTGGTTTCCACGGATCACAGCACGAACTCTGTCGGCATGGTCGTCGCTTGTTGTTGTGAAAGTTCGTCCAAGCTTGGGATCGTCACAAATCGACATCCTACCGTGTTCAAAACACTTAAACCAATTTCAGCACTGTGTGTGACTCATACAGTCCTCCCCGTTATGCTTAGCAAAGAAATCACAGTCTGTAAATGTTTTGCCGACTTTCCAACGAAATTTCACACATGCGTTGTTCTTCAATCTCTTTCCTTGTCTCTTTAGCACTAATCCGACGGACAGCTTGTACACGTGCTCACTTCAGCGGCTGTAGCTCCCCAACCAACAGTCAGAGCGAAATTCAGCACATGCCAGGTTGTTGTCTAGACAAACCTACACATGCGCTCAGTAGCCGTAGCGCGCTCCATTTGTCGGTTACCGCGCTATTCCAACTGCTCGGTTTCTCTTCGAGCACCCCTCGTATGCTGAGTGGAACAATCAAAATGTTTTTAGGCAAAGCAATTTCAAGGGTCATGCTAACTTACTGAAACTCAGGTGTTGTTCAAGTCAACAAGGATTAGGTCTATAATACTAATTTAGCTACTTTGACGAGCGTTGGCAGATAGCAGACCCGCCGCCAACACCACTGTCATGAGCCAACCAAAGCAAGAAGCATGAATAAATTGGATTGTTTTCTATTGATGACGTACCACATCGTGGCGTTTCGATGTGTCAAATTCAGTGCACTCGGAGTCAACTACTACTTTGCGTTGAGATGTGTCGGGTACAACCCTTACCCCAATGAAACGCTACTATGAAAACACACCAACTTGTTAATATAGCTCTTCAAAGTGGCTCTGCAAACCAATGAGACATGCAATGGTTGCACCCGGTGAATGGAAAAGCCAAATTACCTCAGCAAATACCAGGCATTTTATGCGAACCGGTCACCAGACAAACCGGAGAAGTCATTCACAGTCCTCATGCGCAGTCAAAGGCCTCAAATAATCAGGCTACTCGAGCCGTTGTTAACGATCGACAGCGCCATCATTGTGTCCGAAAACAGCTGACAATGACACCAAATCTACCGTGGTAGCGTGATACGCATCAATCGGAAAACACTTGATCAATAATTGATTTCATCTGACGTGGTATTGCATCCTTTGTTAGTTGCTTGTATGTGGCCAAGGTGTATGCACGAAAACACAATGTCAGCCCACAATCTTCGTCTCCTGATATTCTTACTTGGAATTATAAAGGAAACTTCATGTTTCTTACGGATTAACTGCCCTCAAAGTAGGATATTTTTCATGAAGTAGCTACTTCATTCAAACAAGCAACTAACAAAGGATGCAATACCACGTCAGATGAAATCAATTATTGATCAAGGGTTTCCGGATTGATGCGTATCACGCTATCACGATAGGTTTGGTGTCATTGTCAGCTGTTTTCGGACACAATGATGGCGCTGTCGATCGTTAACAACGGCTCGAGTAGTCTGAGCATTTGAGGCCTTTGACTGCACATGAGGACTGTGAAAGACTCTCCGGGTATGCCTGGTGACCGGTGCTCATAAAATACCTCGTATTTGCTGAGGTAATTTTGCTTCTCCATTCACCGGGTGCAACCGTTACATGTCTCATTGGTTTGCAGAGCCACTTTGAAATGTGTTCATCCATCGATTTCGACCAGTGCTCTCAACATGGTTGTAACCGCAGCTAGTTGTGAATTTGTATAAACAATGGGACGTGCACCGCTTCGACACAGGTGTCTTCACTGAAAACTTAAGTAGTGAGCTGCTGGTCACGCGCAAGCGTGGCTCAGCTGCGTTGTATGTCTTTTTCATTGAAGTACATTCATGAGGTGGTCACCTCTGAAAGTCTACTCATTGAAAACCTGTTTCGTTTGAACCGTTATCACTTGATCTCGTCTCATCGACTCGCTTTTTGACCTGCTGTGGATAACCATTAGATTGTAGTACGTCAAAAACAGTTCTTTCTCAGTCTCCAGTGTGTCAGTGGTGCAAATCATATGAGCTTCTATCAAGCTCCAAGTTCCAACTAAAGAGCGCTTGCTCAATAATTGATTTCACGTGACATCGTTTTGCATCCCTTGTGTTGCTTGCATGTGGCCGACGAGTGTGCATGAAACGACAGTGAAATCCCACAATCTTCGCCTCCTGATAATCAAATTTATTCAATTCCTTTCAAACAAGCACTCGTATTTCCGCAACAGCTTGCACTGGAAATACTGGGAACCATTTAGTAGGAGGCCCAGTGATCTACAATATTCGATTGGAAGTTATCCTTCGTTCAGTAGCAAGATGATCACCCAATCTTTGGAATGTGTACTAAGGGGGTTACACCAACTTTTTCACGCGGCGCATCGCCAAAGTGCAAAGGACTGATCTATGCCTTTCATTACCGAAAGCATTGTTTCCAGAGAAGTTAGCTATTGTTCTATATCAAATTGCAGACCCTTGTGGAGAGTTGAATCTGTCACACTAATAGGACTCGAAAATGGACAGTGCCAGTTAAAACACTATCGTCAATTCACTTCTTTGGCTGCACCGCCTAGTCGTTTGAATTGATGATAGCAACTTTCGGGTCTTTTCTCTTTAGCCTTTTGCCCATCATGTCAACTAGCGCTGATCAAATAAACGCAAAGAGAAACCAAGCACCAAATTCAAGGTTGGTTACTGGTTTACTTTTTGGGACAGAAATTACTGGGGTATTTGATTCAGGAGAATGAGCATATACAGCACCTAACAGAGGTGGAATTTTAGCTTTAGAAGCTCTGGTGTACACAAGTATTTAGCGTG